TGTGCCTGGTGTGTTTGAAGAAGTGCCAGGAAGCCAGTGTAGTGGAGGGAAGGAAATCCAGAGTGGACAGGCCTGAGATCAGAAGGGTAGAGAGGGTGCTGCATCATGAAATGTCATAAAAGCCTTGGTGGAAGGACTGTCGCTGGCCCCACATCCGAAGTTCCCCAGCCTTTCTCACATTACCAACTAGGCTCTCCTTGCTGTTCAGAATTCTGTTCGATATAGCGGCTCCTCTTATTGGGTCTGCAAATGTGTGAGAGAAAGTTGACAGCAGAATAAGTCATTATTGATAGAGGAGGCACTGCTTAAGAGGAAGTTTGCAGGTGATGTTCAGATATTGCCTAGCTAACGTCACCATCGCCCTATGCTGTGAGCCTTTGACGAATTCATATAAAAGTAGAAGCTACCAATGGGTGGTTGAATGGAAATGATGTGTCTTTAGAGTAGGAACTCACTCAATAGAAATCACAGACCTCTTGTTGACAATACATAAAAAGTACCAGTAGAGGTCATGTCATTCCTTGTTCATTTTTTCACATCCTTTCTGTAAGCATACAGATTAAAAATTGTTACTGAAATCACTACTATGATAAATCCAGTAGAATTTTATTTTGAGTAGCCAGGAGTGGTCTGTTGGCTACATTGTATCTGAATAACAACGACCATGTAAAAATAAGTACTATATTAATGAAATATATCTACCATGAAAACCACATTGAGCACTTTAAAACATGTAATAGGATATACACTGGAATCCGTATGTGCATTATGGAAACGTGCTGTTCAAGCCGATAAAAATTCATATGTGGCATGTCTGGTTATCCAGTCTAGATAAAGGAGATACTTGCATTAAATAAGTATAGAAAAATGATGGAAGTTCTTATCAAAAGACTGTTTTCTCTTTCAAGGAATTGAGTCCTGACGAGTATGAAGAGATGGAAGATGCAGAAGAAGAGGAGGAAGACGACAACGTCTTGACAGAGATGGAGGAATCTGATGAGGATGACACGGAGGCCAGGCCCAGGAGGCTGTTCGATGTCCCCATTCGCAGACGCCGCTACTCCCGCCTCTTTTAGCAAAACTCCGCCAATGGGAGCGCTGGAATGAATCCAGCCTGTCAAACAGATTTCTCAATAATGTACGTAACTAAATTGTCCTCAGCGTATAGCAAGAAAACTAGCATGAAATATTGTTCCAGGCCCTGGGTTCTATGCAGCTGATTCTTCATTAGGAATTGGATTGTTTGGGTTTACTTTATACTTTGGGGGTAGAGGAGGAAGTGAAATCTCTCTCTCTCTCTCTCTCTCTCTCTCTCTCTCTCTCTCTCTCTCTCTCTCTCTCTCTCAATGGGGGAATAGTTTTCTAGCTAAGGAATGGCTCTCTCTTTGTTGAAACATATTTTATACTTTTAAAAAATGCGGAAGCGGGAAGGAATTGTTTTTGAAGATTTAAATCTAGCAGAAATACCTACCCAAGGATAGAAACTGTGACTGAAAAATTCTGTGAAATGATTTCTTGCAGTTGTGAGTTATTTAGAAATGAACATAATTTGTAATTAGGCTAATCCATTTAGTGGTTCCTATATATTTTGTACTCACAAGGAACTAATTGACTAAATAGCTTGAATGCTGGTTGTTTTGTCATTTCTTAGACAATCTGCCCTTGAATCTAAAATTTTTATTGCTATAACCTTGAGTTTAAAGTCTTTATCACTATAACCTTGACTTTGAATTTAGTCTTCAACTCTCCCACCCTTGAACTTAAAACCTTCAACACCGCAACCTAAAATTTAATTTAAAGTCATCAGCATTAATAACTTTGATCGTATTGTTCACAGATGCATCATTTTTGAAATGTAGATTGTAAAACTATGTATTGTGTTTATTAACAGAAACTTCTTCACAATGTCTCATGTAGTCTACTGCTTCTGTTTTGTTTCTCCTTTATACAGTTGACTGTCTAACTTTGTGATAAATGCCATGAATTTTATTTTGAGATTAAGTATGTTTTTCTGAAACATGAATTTTTTTTTTTTTGTAATTATATAATTGGAAGTTTGGGTTGAAGTTCTCCAAGTGTCAAAAACTCACATTTTGAAAACAAATGTTGGTTCTGCTGCTGTATTTTGTATAATTGCCTATTTTCCATAAACTATTATTAGTAGCTTTTGTTCATAAGATGGAAGAGGAGATGGAAACTGATGGCCTGTCACTAGAGGACCATTCAAAATCACTTCCTGGCTTTACCCTGTCAGATGCCCCACTTTCCATTTTTCCCAGGAGCATCTCTTTTGTGGAGAAAACTGTAGGAAGAGGGAGGTGTGTAGACAGGGTGAAGCAACTGCCATCAGAGACCATGAAACAAACTTACCTTTCATATTGGCACATGTCAGAAGGTTCTGCAATGGAGTGAGTAGTTTTTTCTGCTTATTATTATTATTTTTTTGTTTAGTATTATCTGGTTGCTAAATCCTTCTATTATGTCTATCTCTTCTTTTTAATCAACCCACTGATTTTTAAAATTTTATTTTTATTGTTGACACTATCACAGATGTCTATCCTCCCACCCCCCTCTTCTTGCCCACTTCTACCCAACCCCCAGCCCCCATTCCCTCTGGCCATCACCACACAATTGTGTCTCTGGGATAAGCATGAATGTTCTCTGGCTAATTAATCCCTTTACCTTCGTTCATCCAGTCCCCTCACCACCACCTCTCGGACAGCTGTCAGTCTGCTTCATGTAGCCATGACTCTTTCTATTTTGTTTGTCAGTTCATTTTGTTCATGAGGTTCCACATACAAGTGAGATCACATGGTATTTTTAAATTTTCCCGCTAAAGCAAGAATTTAAAACTAGTTAACGTTGGGAGTTAGAGCTGCCCCCCGCCCTTGCCATATGTGTTTCCTTTTTCTGCATGATCTCTCCTTTCTCTCAGTTCCCAGAGCATTCTCGATGCAACTCCACCAATCCTTGCTTCTCAGAATGCTCTAGGCTTGCTTATCCTCTCATCAAATTCACATTCTCTTAGCTGAATGAGTGACCTCTAGTTCATACTAAGGTACTAATAACAAGCTCAGCTTTTTTGTTTCATTTGCAAAAAGATGTCTTCACACATACATGGATCTAATCGTTGGTCACTTTTTATGTAAGCCATCTTTATCTCTGGCTCTGAATTCGCTTGAGGACACCTATTCATTTGTGTAATGCTTCAAGCATCAGGGTGAAATGGGTACCTAACAGCATTAACAGCTTAGAGTTTTTTTCCCTCTTGTGACTAGTCAGAGGTAACAATCCAGGGCTGATATGGTGGCCTAATGGTGCCAACATTCCAGATCCCTTCCATTTTTCTGTTCTGTCATCCTTGGCACAAAACTAATCTTGAAGGTCACCTCATGGTTGCAAAACAGAAGCTGTGATTGTATTGTGTTCCAGGAAGGATGATAAATATTTTTTTAATATCAAACATAAGACTAGAGAGGCAAAGCAGCAGGTCTTCAGCACGATGGCTAGAGAAGGGACGGGGGATGCAGGAATGAACAGGCAGCATGGAGACCTAGTTATAATGGCCCGAGTTCGACCTGCTGAAGGTCTGTCTGAGCAGTGAAGAGGCTGTGAAGAGGCTGTGAAACTGAGATAACTAAATGGTGAAACAGACTGGAGTTGATTAGATGCGAGGGAGTAGGAGAAATCAAAATTGATTCCCAGCATTCTGGCTTCATCTACTGGGAGTTGGGGGATAGAGAACAGCCGAACATTGGAAATGAGTTCAGATTTGGACACGTTTGAGTTCAAGATGGCTGTGCCACATGTAGGTGGAGATGTCCAGTGGTCAGCTGGGTATGAATATGAAGATTGAGAGAGTGGTCAGGGCTGGAGAATAAATAATAGCAAACCATCTGCAAACAAAGTGGAAGCACTAGAGTCTCCCAGGGAGCACATATCAGCAATGATTCTCAGTCCCATCCATCCTGGGACTGAGATTAGATTATGTGTGGGTCGCGGGAAAGAATCGTAGACTAAAAAGTCAAGGAACTGGAAACAAAACCAGGAGAGCTTGGCATCTCAGAATCCCGAGAGTTTCAAAGAGGTAACAGCTAATGAAATGCATATGAGAGGATGCATCTGAAGAGCTTTGTAAACAAGCTCTCACTGGAAATGCATGCTCAGCTGATTTAAGCCCTGCCAAATGAAGCTCATTTCCTGATGTCGGTAAGCCATCAGAGGATCCTGGCAGGGCGTCACGATCAATTATGATTTTCCTGGCTTGAATTTTACTGTGGCCTTACCCTCCTGACTCAGCATAAACAGCCATGAGATGCAATATTTACTTACCCTGATCCTCAGTCCCCCGACAGGTCAATGATCTTTTGTTATCCACCTCCCCCTCCCCCAACACACACACCTGTGACACTCTTATACTGATTTCAGAGAGGAAGGGAGAGGGAGAAAGAGAGAAAAACACCATTGAGGAGAGAGAATCGTTGATGGGCTGCCTCCTGCATGTCCCCTGTTGGAGATCGAGCTGTAAACCGGGCCCATGCCCTGACCAGAATCCATCCCTGACCTGGTTCAGAGGTTGAGGCTCAACCACCAAGCCACACCAGCCAGGGCCAATGTAAGCATGTAAGCCGGTAACAGAGTTTTATCTTTAAAAAATATATATATATATATTATAGAGAGGAAGGGAGAGGGATAGAAAGCTAGAAACATTGGTCAGCTGCCTCCTGCACATCTCCCACTGGGTATGTGCCCACAACCAAGGTACATGCCCTTGACTGGAAACGAATCTGGGACCTTTCAGCCCGAAGGCTGACTCTCCATCCACAGAGCCAAACCGGTTTCGGCCAGAGTTTTATCTTAATCTAGCCCTGGCCGTAGGGCTCGAGGCCAGTGGCTGCCCTGGAGCCTGCGGCCTTGGCTTGTCTGGTTGGTAATCTGGATTCCAGGACTGGGGCGCGCAGGGCGGGGCCGGAGCCGGGGCGGGGCGGAGCCAGAGCCTGGAGGCGGGGCCAGCGCGAGGAGGCGGAGTCCGCGGGCGTCCAGCATAAAGGCGGCCCACCCGCACGGACTCCGCGGCGCTGGAAGCGGGATCCTGCGTGCGCTACAAGGTAAGGCCTGGCGGTGGACCGAACCGAACCGCGCGGGGAGCTCGGCAGGCACGTGCGCCCCGGGGCAGCTGGGCCCCGATCGCCTCCCGCCCCAAGCGGGCCCTGCCCTTCCGGCCCGAACCCTGTCCCCTTGCGCGGGCCTCCGCGCCCTGGAGACGGCACCAGCTTTTCCCCAAACCCCGGGGCCGAGTGTCCTCCGAGGCCCTGTCCTGCCCTTCACGGAAGCGCCCGGCTGCACGCTTTAACGGAAAAACCCCGGCTTTCCCCGTTTACAACAAAGAGGGGAGCGCGGGCACTCTTTCCCAAACACCCCAGATTCCGTGGCCGTGCACTCTATTCCCTCCCTCGGGAATATTTTCCTGGACCCTGACCACGGAAGGGAAGGGAGGCCCTTGCCGTTTAGGCCAAAGAAATTGCGCCCCGAAAGGAGGTTAACGCCAGTTTAGGGTCACAGACCTGCTCCTAACGGACAGGTCCTCATGTTGAACTTGAATGCAGCTGGCAGTGCTGGAAACCAGGCATTTTAGGTCCAAGTTTGCTGTGAAGTTCTGCTTTGTTTTCTTTTTTTGTTGTTGTGTTTTTGTTTGTTTTGTGTATGTTTTGTGTGTGTGTTTAACGTTATTTTTATTGTTGATACTGTTCCGATGGAGGTTTTGTTTTCCCGGGCCGGCTTGGGCTGCGCTCTAAATAGGATCTGACAGCCGACTTTTAAAGAAACGTCACATCGTGACTTGAATGGTTTTTAAGGAGAAGCGGGCCCTTTAAGGACCCTGGAAAATGTGCCCACTCACTTAATCCATTTCTCTGACACGTAGGAACCTTTTTGATGGAAAAACTATGGCTCCCCTGCCGGCCCCGCCCCCGCCCCGGGCGCTGCCCGCTCTGCGCGGGGGTTGGCGGCTGCAGGTCTTTCTGCTGCGGCGCCCGTGCGGCTCCGGCTCCCTGGCCAGTCCACGCCCGGCTCCAGGCCCAGGTTCAGGAAAGGTCCATGGCCGGGCCTAGGGCTAGATGAAGACCTTTTTTTAATTCATTCTTTGGGAAACATCCATTTGTTCTTCCACTTAGAGATTCTTTGATTCTTATATGTGCCCTGAATGAGAATCAACCCTCGACCTTGGCCTATGCCAACGCTTTAACCAACTGATGAAGACCTTTAAAACCTAGGAAAGTTAAGGTGTCCTTCAATTTTTTATTGGGGAAAAAAGAAACTCCAAGACTTAGATTTCTGTGTGTGTGTGTGTGTGTTTACTATTATATTAAAATGTATTTCAAAACTCTTGTGCACATGCAAGCCTCCCCGTGGGCCCTGCTGTTCACTGGTTGGATAATCCTGAGTGGACTACTTTCACTTTCTTACCAGTAAAACCATAGCGCTTACTTTATTCCGTGTTACAAGGACTAAATGAGATCATCCTCGGAAATGGCCAAATGTGGCTTTTACAAGTTCAGGAAATCATGTTCCCCACGGGGGACAGCGGATGCCCAGTTCTTCAAGGCAGGCACACGGAGCTCCGAACGTTAACAGCGAGGTGGCAGTGTTTCCCAAAATGTGGGGAAATTTATGACCCCCCCCCCCCAAAAAAAAAAAAAGCAGATAGGAAGTTGTCTTACTGTGGAGCAAACATGCTTGAGATTCGTGGCATCTGTATTTTCAAAGTAGAAACAGGAGCTGGCTTAACTTTTTTTTTTTTTTAAGTCAGTTAAGTGTGGTTGTGTGGATGGCTTAACCTTCTTGCACGAAAACATCCCATTAGTCTGAGTGACCTGGAAGATAAAAGCCCAAAGAGAATGGGCTTTAGGAGAGGACCGTGGTTATCTATGGGATTCATCTGTAACAGCTCCAGGTACAACCTCTTAAAAGGATCCCATTAAAAATTCGGGGCCAGCTCTTGAACCTCAGTTTTTCTTAGGAAGAAGTTTTTTGCCTGCTCCCTCCTCCCCCCGCCCCCAATAGCGTTGTGAAATATCTTCATTAAATGGTTGACTCTGAGAAATATCTTCACTAAGTAGCTGGTGCTGCAGTTACAATCTCCAAGAGCAGAGCCATGAGTAGACTCTCTGTAACAAGAGGCCTTCTGGAAAGTCCTGGAACACGTTTCCGAGAAGCTTCAGGCTTGTGTAGTTCAGGGAGGTCTGGGGTGGTTGACTGGCAGCAGGACCTCAGAGTGGGAGGGGCTGTTCATTGTGATGTGGCTTTTTGTTTGTCTCTCCCTACTGAGGTGGCAAACCTCCGAGCCCTTGACACTACCAATCACCAGGTAATGTTAACAAGCAAGTTGTGAGTTGCCAGGCCGTGGTGAACAGAAGTGTGTGATCCACCCAACTCTGGCTTTGCAACTGATCTGTGGCCTTGGGACAGGTAACTTCATCCCACATGGCCTCCCTTAGTGAACTATAAAGCAAGAACTTAGGGTTTTATCTCTGAGGACTCCTCTAATCTTAAAGTTTATCAGCGTTTGAGGCCCCAGGCTCCCAGGATCAGTGACTATACTCCTGGGCAGTGGTCAGCAAACTCATTAGTCAACAGAGCCAAATATAACAGGACAACGGCTGAAATTCCTCTTGAGAACCAAATTTTTTAAACTTAAACTTCTAATGCCACCTCTTCAGACTTGCCCAGGCCGTAGTATTTTGTGGAAGAGGCACACTCAAGAGGCCAAAGAGTCGCATGTGGCTCCTGAGCCGCAGTTTGCCGACCATGGCTCATGGGCATCTGTAAATCTCTTCCCTGGTGATCTTAGTTTAGCAAATTTATTTCGGAAGCTGAATTCACAAGTCTCCCCACTAGAAAGTAACTGGTGAAGCACTCACACCTGGTCTTAAATGGTGTTCTGCCGTGTACCAGCTTTGAGGTGGGTGTATTAGTTTAAAATTGGGGCTGAAACAAATCATTACAAACTTAGCAGCTTAACACAGTTTTGTAAATAAGAGCCTCAATAGGTTCAAGTCGAGGTGTTGGCAGGGCTGTGTTCCTTTCTGGAGGCTTTATGGGAAAATCTAGTTAGCACAATTACAGTCCTTGTGGTTGGAGGACTGAGGTCCCATTTCCTGGCTGAGTGTCAGTTGAGGACAGTTCTTAGCTTCTGTAGGCTTCTATTGCCTCAGCTGTGGCCCCCTTCCTCTTCTTAAAGATCAGTAGTAGGTGAAATCAATCTCACTCTGAAGCTCTTGCCTCTTCTGTTTCCAATATCTCTGAGATTGCTGCCTTCCTCTTCCTCTTAAATATAGTCACCCAGCTTATTTTATACATTAGAATCCAAGGAGGTGACATAGGGTGGAATCCATGAGATTCGTTGATGGTAGATTAGGGAGGTGAGAGAAAGCAAAGCTGATTTACATTGGTAGGTTGAGGATGGTTAATAATTAACACAGCACCTAGAGATGGTATTCAGGGAACAAAATAACAATGAGGTGGTTCTGTGGCTTCATGCTCTGGTGTGGTGGGTGTGCCCTAATGGGTCTGGCAAAGGAGAATACTCTGAAATTCCAAGGCTGTGTTATGTTTGATACAAAAACAGACAAAGCACACACATACACACACACACACACACACACAAACAACAACAACAAAACAAGATAGATTCCCTTAAGGAAAAGACTAACCTTTATCAAGGAAGCTGTAGCCCTATGAAGTGGCTACCTGCCATGACCTGCTTTGAGTTAGGAATTTTTATGTTCAGACCCTCCTGTGTGGTTACTTTCGTTTCTGAGTTTGTAGGGCCTGCCGTGCTGGCCTCCCCCAAGCTTGTGGGTTTAGCATGTGGTCCCCCTTTTTGTCCTCAGACAATTAAAAACCTTCGTGTCTTGACTTCCTTAGCAGACAAAAGAGGGTTTAAGACGTTCAGCCCTTCCTCCTCTCCCCTGGTGCCCACTGCTGCCCATGTAGGCATGAGTGTAGTGCGGACCAGCCATCAGTTACCGAGGAGGAGATAGGCCTCGGTGTTCTGTCTTCAGCAAAGTCAGCCTTGTGTACAGAATACCAGCAGCATGTTGCAAGTCGGTTTCTGAATTTTCCCAGGGCAAACAGGATGAGGAAAGATGGGAAAGAGCATATGAACAAAGGCTAAGTATGTGAGCAGCAGCACATTTCCCAGGGAGATCTGCCCGTCACCAGTAGACAAAGGGAGGTGGAGATGACAAGAAAAGACAACTCATTTCTTTAAATAACCCAACAGGAGACAGACCTAGGCGAGGTATGGGAGGGCTGGGGAACTGTTAACCCCATAGTCCTCGGCCAATGAGGAACCAGGGGAAGGACTCTCACACACTAGGGATAAATTCCTATGATCGGCTCCGGGGTGCCTGCTCAACGAGACACCCAATCTTGCAAGATGCATTGAAGGTCTCATTTTCACCACACTTTATGCCTCTTGAGTCCGTTGTCTGAGTTCGGACAGGTGAGCATTTCTCAGTCCTGAACTCCATTCACTTCCCCAGAGCGAGCAGGGAGGTGTTCCCGTTACATTTGCGAAAGAGGGGGGCGGGAGCAGCTGTTGCCTCCTGTTCTGCTCCCGGATACAGGCTGGTGCCCTCCAGAGCCCCTCATTTGGTCGGATGCCCTTCTTAGTGGCATGGCCTGGAGAATGGCCTTCACTGGGCTCCGGCGCAGCCAACAGCACTGGGTGCAGTGACAGCAGAGCAGGCATCGCCGCTGCTGCGTTAAGTCCTTTCCTCACAGTCTCAGTTGACCGAACGAGCTTTACGGGGAAAACAGTGCTGGCCCCACTGCGCGGAGAAAGGGTGCGAAGCTATTGGACGTTAGAGCTGGGCTGGGGCCCGGGAGGTCCTGGCTCTGGGCCCTGCGTGCTGTGACTCCCCCCGGCTGCCCCCTCACCGGGATCCACAGCGTTTCTTCAGGGAGCAGGAGGGGGACCGAGTGCTGCCCCATCTGAGAGCATCCTTTGGTTCATGGCACCCCACCTGGGAGATTTCCTGTTTTCTTGGCCTGCTAGCTCCTTCCCCGTGTTTCCTGAAGCCCCTCTCCTCTCCCGCCTTCCCCCCCCATCCCCCCCCCCGCCGCTGCCCCCGGACCCTCTAATTCCTGGCTTCTGCGATAACCAGTCAGCAGTCGGTCATTTGCTGGTTCGTGACCGCTCTTTGTGTGTCTTCCTTCCAGATTCAGTAGAAAATGGGGAGCAAAGGAGGCTTCACCCTGCTCTGGCTCCTGATCATCCTTTCCGTCCTCTGTGACTCAGGTGAGTGGTCCCGGGGGACATGGATCTCGACCACCTGGGCACTTCCTCTTTCTTGGGCCTCAGAAGACTGAGCGGGTGCCAGCGGGTACCCCCCCCCTCCCCCCCGGCTTCCGTGGCTGTGCCTTCCCGTGTTACAGGCCCAGGGCGGGTGCCAGCTCCGTCCTGGGTTACAGGCCTGCCCGCCGCGGGGCGCCTTCCCGAGTTACGGCCATTCTGGGTTACAGAGCTGCTGTGGGGGTGGGGGAGGGGCGGAGGGGGGGACACTTCAGCAGCTTAAGTTCCACCCTCTCCCCACAAAGCTGCTGGGACATCAGCGGACCCATCGTTAGCGGGCTGTGCTCTGTCCTCCTGCCCCGGCCTTTATGCGCCATGAAGAGGACGGTGCTCATAGTGGCAGCTAACGCTTCCAGCATCTATGTGCCCATCGCTGTTCTGAACACTTCACAGGCATTTCCTTATTCAATCCGCACGTCCGCCCTATGGGGTAGGTACTGCTTTTATCGCCATTTTACCAGGACAGTTGACAAGACGGGGTCCCTGAGAGATGAAACAGCTTGTAAACTGTCCCACGAAAGTGGCACAGCCCGAATTTGAACCCAAACAGCTAGGCACCAGACCATCTGCTCTTTTTAAAAAAATATATTTTATTGATTTTTTACAGAGATAAAGGGAGAGAGAGGTAGAGAGTTAGAAACATCGATGAGAGAGAATCATCGATCAGCTGCCTCCTGCACACCCCCCACTGGGGATGTGCCTGCAACCAAGGAACATGCCTTTGACCGGAATCGAACCTGGGACCTTTCAGTCCGCAGGCTGACGCTCTATCCACTGAGCCAAACCGGTTTTGGCAGACCATCTGCTCTTAATTCCTTCTCCGCCCTGCCCCCCTCCCCGGCTCCTGGAGGTATTCCTGTGTTTCTGAGTCTCAGCCCCGTAACACTGGAAACACCAGTGTGACTTGCTCTGCTTCATCATAAGGATCAAGTTTTCCACTTTCTGCCTGTGTCATAGTGGCACCGCCTGTTTTGTGGGGGGAGGGGACAGAGAAGGAAATAGCAGTGCAGGGAGCTAAAGAAGAAAGTTATCTGCATGCTGGAGCATGTCTCACATATCGGTCGCTTTAGTGGCCACCATATAGTGGATGCCTGTTAGGTAGTAGGGACCCTGCCAGGCCCGCTCTCATTGCATCCCTCTAGCCATCCCGGGAGGGGTTAGTGTTGTTAAACCCATTTTATAGTTTGAAGCTGAAGCAAAGAAGAAACCAGCCCAAGGACACATTTGAATATGCTCTCCCTTGGGGGGGGGGGGAGGGGGTGACAAAGCGGGGGGGATGGGGGAGGGGGAGAGAAGTGATGACTCATCTCCCCCCCCCCCCCTCCACCTCTGCTGATTCTAGCCAGAGGAGATGTAATGCATTGGTCTGGATGCTTCTAGCCAGTGTGTGTTCCGTAGTTAGAATTACCTGGTCATGCCCGTTTCCAAAGTCTGTTGATGGCACAGGCCTGGGTCTGGGGCCATCAGCTGTCCTGTGACAGCCCCTCGTCCGAGAGTCGGCCTCTGGAGCAGATCCTGCTACCCAGGCTTAGCCGTGAAAAGATCAAAACAGTCGACCGCTGACTTATTGCTGGTCCCTGACCTGGGTCTCCCCCATAATCTGTGCCGTTTTCATCCCTTGCCCACTCAGGACAATGAGAAGAGCGACATGGTTAGACCAAGCTGCGGTGTCAGAGCGGGCAGCCTTGGTTTGGGGCCCGCGCTCTCACTCAGTAGCTGTGGGAACCGGGGCAAGTCGGTTAGCGCCTTAGTCTTAGCTTCCTCTTGAAAAAAAAAAAAAAGGTGATGGAGATCACTGAGCCCACCTCTTAGAACAGTTGTGTGGAGACTGAGCTTCACACGCAGGTGCCCAGATGTGTGAACACTGAACAAACGTGTGAACTCTGAACACTTCTGCCCACCGAAGTTCCAGACTCTGACTCAGGATGGTCAAGAAGGCAAACGAACTCTAGCTCCAGCCGGGAGGAAATTCGAGGCCATGGGCAACCAAAGAGCCAGGCTGGCACAATCCCTCCTCTTCCAGTCTTTCTGCTCCTGCGGGTGCACACGTCGGGAGCAGAGAAGAGAAGAACTGCCTCTCGTCCCTTCTCAGGCGGCCCCCCTCACGCAGGCGGACAAACACGTCCTGGGAGGAGCAGTGGGGTGGCCTAACGGAGCCCTGCCCAGGCCTGGCGGAGCGCCCGGGGGAGGCAGCGGTCATCATCTCTAATTAGAAAGGGTGTGGCCGGGTGAATCGAGAGCGTCCTCTTGCAACTCTTCTCAGCCTCTCCCCTTGACAGATGTGAAATAGCAACTGTCTTTTTCTTTTTCTTTTCTTTTCTTTTCTTTATTCTTTTTTTTTTTTTAATATATTTTATTGATTTTGTACAGAGAGCAAGGGAGATAGAAACATTGATGAGAGAGAGTCATCGATCAGCTGCCTCTTGCACACCCCTACTGGGGATGTGCCCGCAACCAAGGTACATGCCCTTGACCGGAATCGAACCCGGGGCCCTTCAGTCCCCAAGCCGACGCTCTATCCATTGAGCCAAACCAGTTTCGGCAACTGTCTTTTTTCTTGTCATCTTTGAGATAAAGCGGAGAAGGAGAAATAACCCAGCAAAGCCTGAAGTGGAGCTGCAGACAGGAACCCTCAGAACAGGAGCAGCAGCAGAAGTGATTGTCACAATCAGAGAACCAGCGGCAGTTTGTGTCCGATGTAGCCGGTCCCCGTGTTCGGTGTCACTGCTGACGCCTGGGTGTCCCACCTCCCTGGGTCTGAGGTGCTATCTCTCCCTCCATCATGTGTGATCATGTGTGCTGCTGGCGACAGGCCAGCTGCTGAGCAGGGAGCAGCTTCAGGGAGGGCTCCTGGCCGAGAGGTCACCATCTCTGAGAGGTCAGAGAGCCAAGGGTGAGGTTTTGCAGGCCAACAGGCAAATTCAAGGCTATTGTGTCGGCTTTTATAGAAATCACGAGAGGAAACAAATTAATACAGATTTTCAGTTGACAAAATTTGAAATGCAATCATTTAGGACAGTTATTTGTAATACAGATCTACTAATGGGAAGAAAGGGATTCTTTTTAGGAGAATGACATTTTGTTTGCTTGGGTTTCAGAAATTAGTGCTCCCTCTCATCCAGTTGGTGGCAAGTATTCATCTGTTAGTGCTGATCTGTAATGAGATATTCCGTGGTTCATCTTCAAAAATGTCTTTTCACACAGGTAGCTACCACCAAGCACTGGTTATTAATCAGGGGAAATATGATTTCTTAGAGCACATTAGTTGCTGCAGATGCATTTATAAAATTTCATTAGCCTATTCAACTTGCAGTTGAAATGCTTAATTAGAACAGTTATATGGATTTTTAAATAGGGAAGTTCCCTTTGCACTTGCATCAGGATCCAAAAACTGCTGCTGGAATTGTAGTTTTATCAGCAGGGGACAAGGGGATCCCTGGCCTGAGACAGTACTCTGCACCCCCAGTTCTTGTCTTGTTTATGGGAATAAATTCAAACAAGAGACAACAGCAAAAGCAGACAAGGATTTTTATTTGTAGGAAAGCGATACACTCAGGACCTGAGCAGGCAGGTTAGCTGGCTGAGACCAAACTGAGTGCCTCTGATATTTGGGTGTTTAGAAGATTTATACCCCAAGATTGGCATGACACTAGGCAAGGAGCTAATCACACCCTTCCTCATATCTCAAAAAAAATAAAATAAAAAAATCTTTAAGCTGTAAGGCTCCTTCATCTAAGTCGGAGGTGGGGAACCTTTTTTATGACAAGGGCCATCTTGATATTTATAACATCGTTTGCTTCATATAAGTCACTTAATGTACATGTATGTTGCTATGAAAGAAGCTCCTAGATGTATTGAATTTTGAGTCTCGCCTGTGGTGGCCTTGGCAGGGCCAGACCACACGATTTCTCGTGCCTCGCGGTCCGCAGGCCAGATGCTCCCGCCTCTGATCTAGGTCTAAGCCACGGTTCAGCTCCCCTCATGGGGGAGGAGGGGGGCTCTGAATCTTTCCAGCTCACAGAGGGGCTTGCTGCCTCCCTTGTCTACGTTCAGTTTGTCACATCTCACAGTGACTTCCTCTAAGCCCCCGCGTAGAGCTCAGAGGGCCGCTCAGAGGCCAGCTGCCTCTCCCAGCCCCTCCCAGCTCAGATCTTCCTCTCTGCCTACTCTGACAGTCTGAGCTTGGAGACATCTGCCTGCTGCAGGTGTGTGTGGGAAAGCAAGCATGCTGCCCTCTGCCCCGTTGTCATGGCGAGGGTGGGCTTCCTGTGGCAGTGGGTGCTGGCCTACCAGATGCTGATGACTTTACTTCCCGATTCTAGGTCATGGCTTGCGGTGCTACAACTGTCTCAATCCAGGGGGTGAGTGCAATACCATCACCAACTGCTCCGTTAACCTTGATGCATGTCTCTTTGTCAAAGCCGGTAAGAGCCTCCCCACCCCCCTCCTCAGGGTAATGGGATGATGGAACCCTGGAGAAAATACTGGGCCACTCTACCTTCATTAGACTTGCATCCAACAAGTAACAGGTACCCTTTCAGAGCATCAGCTACCTGTAGCACTAAGCACTTCTGTGTTTTTAATTGAATGCTTCTCACCTACCACTCGGGGTGATGTTTTTTATTCTCAGTTGACCAATGAGGAAACAGAGGCTCAGATGAAGCAACAGACTAAGGACAAGTAACCAACCCAGGATTTGACTGTGGGAGTCCATCTATTCCAATGCTCATTCTCTTAACGGCAATGCTGGCTGCCTCCCCGTCTTTTAAGAGCCTCCTGTGTGTCAGGGTCTGAGCAAGTGGCTAGGAATGCAGAGATGAAGAAGGTGATAAGATTTGGGCAGAGGCCAGTTTATTAGCTGCGTCAGAAATGGGAAAGGGGAAAAGAGTTCCTGAGTGTGACAAAGGCAGGTGCCACCCAAGGTTTGTGACCTCAGAGAGGCAGGGAAACGGGGGTGGGGACTGTTAAGACTGCATTTCCCATAGTGGTCAGGCTCTCCAACCCCTGTCTCCATAACTCCTACTAGAATAGGATCTAGGAAGTGGTGGGCGGAGGAAAGAAACCAGCCACAGCATGCCCTCTTCCGTTCTTGGTGGACGTGGTTCTGGGTTGAAGCTCTGTGTGGAAATGATACTGGCGAGGAATGGCTGTGTCTGGGTCTCCTTAGTTAGGTAATGTGCACCAGTTGTATATGAGCACAAAGACCTGTTTTTTTTGTTGTTGTTTTTTTTAAAATATATTTTATTGATTTTACACAGAGAGGAATTGAGAGGGACAGAGAGTTAGAAACGTTGATGAGAGAGAAACATCGACCAGCTGCCTCTTGCACACCCCCCACTGGGGATGTGCCCGCAACCAAGGTACATGCCCTTGACCGGAATCGAACTCGAGACCCTTCGGTCCGCAGGCCGACGCTCTATCCACTGAGCCAAACTGGTCCCAGCCTGGTTCTTAACCTGCCACCAATAGGTTCTTTCTGCCTCTCTGTTATTTATAAAAGGTGTGTGTGTGATGGTAGAGGTGGGGAAGAGCCGGGAAGAGGGAAGTAAACTAGAGCCAAAATATTTTTTTCCAGCTCTCAGATCCCATTGTTTCTTACCTCAATTATTAGGCTTATATTTTAATTTCCCCCCAACTTTATTAAAGTAAAACTTGGGTATATTTAAGGTGTACAAGGTGGTGATTTGATGTACATAAAATTATGAAATGGCGCCGAAACCGGTTTGGCTCAATGGATAGAGCGTCGGCTTGGGGACTGAAGGGTCCCGGGTTCGATTCCAGTCAAGGGCATGTACCTTGGTTGCGGGCATATCCCCAGTAGGGGGTGTGCAAGAGGCAGCTGACCGATGACACTCTCTCATTGATGTTTCTCTCTATCTCTCTCCCTTTCTCTCTGTACAAAATCAATAAAATATATATTTTAAAAAAATTATGAAATGGTGATCACAATCAATCTTTCTAACACATCCATCATCCCACAGTTACCTTTTTGTGTGTGAGGGAGAACACTGAAGATCTGTTTTCTTAACAAACTTCAAGTATACAATACAGTATTATTAACTAGAGTCACCATGCTGTACAGGGACCCTCCGATCTTACTCACCTGAGAATGACTTGGTAAGCTTTAAAAATGCTTGCTGTGAACAGTGAGGCACCCTTCCTAGAAAGGCCACGGTCCAGAACCCTGACTTCACCAAACGCTGGCAAAGATGTGGAACAATAGGACTCCCATCTTTTGCTGGTGAAAATGGAACATGGTGCAGACCATTCAGTAGTTTCTTCAAGAAACTAAACATACTGTCACCATATGAGTCAAACATTGTGTCCGTCAACATTTACCCAAATGAGTTGAAAGCATATATGCCCACCTTGACCTGCATGTAGATGTTGGCAAGTTTTATTTAGAAGTGCCTAAATTTGGAGCAACCAAGATGGCCTTCAGTAGGTGAATGAATAAAAAAACGGGCACATGCAGATTAGTAGACTAAAAAGAAATGAGTGATCAGGCCACAAAAGGCATGAAGGGAACGGAAATATACTAGTATTTTCCTAAGTGAAAGAAGCCAGCCTGAAAAGGCTACCTCCTACATCATTCCAATAGGACATTTTAGAGAAGGTAAAACTAAGGGACAATAAAAAGTCAGTGGTTGCCAGGGGCCAGCTGAAAAAGGGGAGGGGCGATGAAGTAGAGCACAGAATTTTTAGGGCCATGAAACTGATACTACATGTCACACATTTGCAAAACGCCTTAGAATGTACAAAGCCTAGAGTGAACCCAAGTGTAAACTATGACCTCTGGATGATAATGAGGAGTCCCTGTAGGTTCATCAGGTGGAAAAAACATACCACTTTGGTGTGGGAGGTCCATCGGGTGGGATGGTGTTTGGGTGGGGGTGGCAGGGAGCTCCATGGGAACTCTGTACTTTCTGCTTCGTTTTGCTGTGAATCTAAAACTCCTCAAGGATGAATCTATTTTTTTAAGAAGGATGTTGTGAATCTTAATTTTTTTTTCTTCCCATGAATGTAAGTCCCCTTCCTTAAGCTAGACGTCTTGGAATAGATATGTTCTGACCTTAACGTAAGGCAGACACTAACAGAGCATCTAAATCCCCCTCCTGCTCCGGAGACATCACCCTGGGAGAGGCATGGCGCACTGTCATAAACACGAGCTGGAGGCCAGGCACTGCATTAAGAAGGTATTCAATTACTCTAGCCACCCCACCCCCAGCTGTAAATGGGAATGCCTGTCTCCTGAGGCCAGTGAAGCTTAGAGGAGAGAGTGGGTATCATAGCACTGTGCCAGTTCTGTCCAGAAGAGAGGCCGGCTGAAACCGGTTTGGCTCAGTGGTAGAGCGTCGGTCTGCGGACTGAAAGGTCCTGGGTTCAATTCCGGTCAGGGGGATGTACGTTGATTGCGGGCACATCCCCGGTAGGGGGTGTGCAAGAGGCAGCTGGTCGATGTTTCTCTCTTATCGATGTTTCTAGCTCTCTCTCTCCCTTCCTCTCTGTAAAAAATCAAAGTATATTAAAAAAGAAGAAGAAGAGAGGCCAGTATTGGGTGTTCCATGAAACACCATTTCCTGGCATCCTGGCCGGGTCCTGGGAGTGTAGACCATGTACTTGGAGTCTGGCAGAAGTGTCTGATGACGGTGTCAAGTGATCATTGCCGGCATGGCCCGCACTAGGACGGTTGTGCGCTGCTGCTCAGTGAAGGTAGGCTCAAGCCAGATCTTCAGAGACTGGGGAGGGAGTGCCGAGCAGAAGGAGAAAACCTCTACCATCCCAGTGACCTGGATACAGTCCACTTTTATTTTGGTGATTCCGATAGTGGCTCTGGTGATTATGCAAATTAGATAATTCAAGTAAAGTGCAAGTAAAGTGCTTGACTCACTGCAGGACACTCAGTAAGTGGTTCCTCCGTAGCCATGATTAACACATTACTCTCTTCTCCCCAAGCTGTTAGGCTTCCCTAATTAAAATGCTCTTAGCTTTAATGGGTTCCCAGTTCCAATGCCTGAGTGCTGTTACATACAGCAGTAACTTGTCCTAGTCAACAGCATCCTGTAGCACAGTGTTAGAAGCATGCACTTAAATGCCTATGACCCAAGCATGTAGAGCCATGGGAACACTCTGCCAGCCTCTGCTACACTTGCTCCCACTTCACTGTGGGCCTCTCAGAGGTGTTAAGCCGCCTATGAAGAACAGCTGCGAGGGAGTTGGTGGGGTGTAGTTCATTGTGTCACCAGGGTGGGGCAAGGGGAGTTTATCAGGACTTGGCACCTACCTGCCCCTCTGCAGACTGGGGAGAGTGCTCACACAGGAACACTGGCAGCTGTCCCTCCAGCCCTTGTCTTGAACCTACACAATTCAGTTGTTCCCTCTGTGTGCCTTGATGCCATTTGAACTGCTGGCTCTTTGCTATAGCTTAGGGCAAATGTTTATGGGTGAATGAATCTGTGTGTGGGCCCTTTAAGAGGGTGCCTGGGTTGCCAGCAGCCCTCCACCTCACCAGATGGAATCCCCACTGATCTTTACAGCCAGATGACTCCTCTTCCGAGCACTGGGGCTCCAGGCTGGGGGACCTGGTGTGGGGCTGGGACCCCTCACACCTCTGCAGCCAAGATCTCCCTCTTGCTTCTCAGCTGCTGCATGTGGGTGTGAGACCAGCCTGTTTCTCATCTCTGCCCTCCAATCAGTCTCAACGTGGCTGCTGCTTTATATCCTTAGTTATAGGAGCTCCATTCACTGGTCTACAAATAGTTCTCCAGGGTGTTTGTTCTGTAATTTAGGGATAATTTTGTTGTGTTCATGGGAAGAAGCAAGCACAGCATTTATTTTCTCCACCATCAAGACCGGAATTTCTCATTATAGTTTTGATTTGTATTGTCCTGATGACTAATGATACTAAGCATCTTTTCATGCATTTATTGGCCATTTGTATATCTTCTTTAGAGAAATATCCACATCCTTTGCTCATTATTTAATTAGGTTATTTGTATTTTTATTGTTGAGTTGTGTTTTATATATTCTGACTAGCCTTTTATGTCAAATATGATTTGCATACCTTATACCCTCTTTTGTGTATTTCTTGATAGTGTTCTTTGAAGCATAAACATTCTTAATTTTGATGAAGTCAAATTTATCTATTTCCCTGCATAATTTTAAAACTCGGGCTCTTCCACATCAACACCTACAGGTGTATGTTACTATCCATATGAATATCATTGTATGGAGCTCTTTAGTAATTCCTTCAGACACTTCTTTTATTAATGGGCTGGTTTTATAGTTTACTAGAGGCCCAGTGCACAAAATTCATGCACTGGGGGGTGGGGGGGAAGGCAGAGGGTCCTTCAGCCTGGCCTGCATCCTCTTACAGTGGGGGAGCCTCAGGGGATGTCCAACTGATGGCTTAGGCCTACTCCCCAGGGCAACATCCTTAGCAGTGCTGCAGAGGCCTCCAATCACCACCACTGTGCTTGCCAGCCATGAGCCCGGCCTGGCTTCTGGCCGAGCAGTGCTCTCCCTGTGAGATCGGGCCAAAACTGGCTCTCTAACATCCCCCGAGGGGTCCCAGATTATGAGAGGGCACAGGCCAGGCCAAGGGACCCCACTGGTGCACAATTAAAGCCAGGGAGAGATGCAGGAGGTTGGCCAGCCGGGGAGGGGCCATGGGGGTGCTCCAGGGCATGTCTGGCCCTTCTTGCTCAGTACTGATCAGCCAGACCCCAGCAGCAAGCTAACCTACCGGTTGGAGCATCTGCCCCCTGGTGGTCAGTGCACATCATAGCGAGCAGTTGAGTGCCTTAGCACATCATTAGCATATTACGCTTTGATTTGTTCAACGGCCAACCACACACTTAGCATATTAGGCTTTCATTATGTAGGAGGATTGCACTTACAGATAGTACTGCAATGACCACTGGAGTGGGGGAGCATATATCTTAACCTTTTTTAGAAGTAATGTCATAGAATAAAATCTAGAAGTGGAATTGCTGGATCATGTTGTGGGCATGTGTTTAAAAATCTGGGTGAGTCTCTTACAACATCGGTATGATTGCCTGTTGCCTCCCCTCCACACACAATCTTACTGGCTCTGATGAGACTTTGGTTTTATGGGAAAGTTCCATTGAGAGCTGTATCATCCCTTACTTAACTGTTCCCCTTTGCAATCCAGCTGGGATGCCCATTCCTGCCCCTATGTCTCTACTGCCACAAGGTCAGGTCCCAGGAGTAGAACCTAGAGCTCAAAGGCAGGTATGGAACTTGCCACTTATTTGCTCACCCTCGTGTGTGTTTCTCCCACAGAGATGTGGACATATTACCAGTGTTGGAATTTCAATAACTGCAACTACGAATACCTCTCAAGAAACTTAGGAGAGAAGACTCTGCAGTATGAATGCTGCAAGAAGGACCTGTGTAACAAAAGCAATGGGACGAGCGTAACAGGGACCATCACTCTGCTGGTGACTTCGCTGCTCACGGCATTCTGGAGACTTTTCTAAGTCAATACCAGGAGACATTCTCCTCACTCCCTGCTTCTGTGTATTCCTTATTCCCTGTGCTGCCGCAAAAGCTTCCTATCTTCTTACTGGATCCTGTTGGGAAAGACCAAAACTAGCTTGAGCAACTTGGATAAGAGAGAGGGGAGGAGGAGAGAGCGAGCGAGCTGGAAAACCAGTCCTGTTTGCAGAGAGGAAGCTTAGGATGGAAGCCCGTGCCACGTTAGCTGGGTTAGTTGCATGCTGCTTCCTTTGCACTTTGCAGTAATAGCTTGACCAGACTCTCTGTAGTTGGCACTAATTTCCCCGTGTATTCCTTGGACGTATTATAGTTACCAGTATGACCAGTGCTTTTGTTGGGGGTGGGGGATGCTTTTCACCAATCTCTTTCACGGGATGCTCTCACCCCCTCCTTTTATGGCCCCTGTGTGGCCACGTAGGCATGTTCCAGATGTGGGCTGTCAGGGGCAAGGAGAGTCTACATGCAGAGCGACTGGAATGACTGCTTGTATTCTCAACTGGAAAGTGACTGGAGGCAGAGGAGATAGGCTTTCCGGGTGGCAGGGCACTAAGGCCCCAGGTCTGCCTTTAGGAGAAGTACCAGTAGCTGAAATCTGAATTCTCTTCTTCCCCTAAATTTTGTACGGGCTTTGCTGTCTTTCCCTGAAAACAACTTAAACGCTCAACGAATGGTGTGTTTAAAACGATTCCCCTCCCCCTTTCACTGGAATGATGGATATTTTCGCTTTGCCACGTAGTTCAAGACTAAATATTCGGATATGCTTTGCTACAAGGGATTTACAGTATCGTGTGCTTTGAGTATTGTCAGTGGGAATACCCGCATGTGGACGTGGACTGTAAGAATGCAATGGGAAGGTGTCATCACGAACAGGCCCACAGGAATGTTCTGCCTGCTGACGTCAAGCCTGTTGACTCCTAGCTGCCCTGGCACAGACCATGCAATGCTCATTTGTAAGGGCCGTCAGCGTCCTCACAAATGTCAAGACTTTGAGAAGCTCTACCAGTTTCCTAAAGAGAGAGAGCGCGCGCGAGACCTCTTTTCAGGAGGGCAAAGTCTTGCCTTTTTTTGTACGTGTGGATTCTGGTGAACAATTCTCAAGATCTGATAGACTTAATAACGTTTATATTCTTATAACCTTGTCTGCTTTTAACACCATGGCCTGACTTGCCAATGAAAGCGAGATTTCTTGATTAACATTAAAAAAAAAAAAAGGCCTTGATTATGTCATCTGCGAAGATAAAGTGGAACAAATGATGCCTTTTTGAAAATAAAATGTAATCAAATGCATGCGTGTGGTCATTGGGCCCGGAAGGAGGGCAGCGTGCCGGATGCCAGCACAGAGTGTGGGCGGTGCCAGTTGTCTCCTGTGGATGCCATAGACAAATAAAGACTTCCTCACCCAGACCTGGCGTTCCCTGTGCTCTGTTCCCTGTTGGCGCCGTGCTTTTGCTGACATCCTCTGCCATCCTGTCCCAAGACAAAGTGGTCCTTGTGACTCTTTCCTTAACAGGACCCTCGTTTCTGCCCGAGGAAGGACTGGCCCTGCCACAGCCACTGGCGTATAGGATTTTCCACCATAAAACTTTGTCTAAAGCTTCCTGTTTGTGCACACTTACATTATTTTGGAGTAAAATAAATGACCACAGTACTTCCAGGTGGCTGTCTATGTGGCTCCATTGTAGGGCAGGATGTCCTTTTCCCCAGCAGCTGTCTGGGTCCAGAGCCTCTGGGATTGGGGGGACGGGGGGAGGGAGGGACAGCATGCACCCTGCAGAGGGTGGGTGCACTGAACTGGGGGTCAAGGTTCTGCGATTGTGGAGTGGGGAGCTTTTCTGTGACACGCTTTCCTAGGCATGCTGCCATTCCCATCCTCGCTATTGGCTTCATGCAAATAAGCCAACCCCAGTGCGTTGGGCCTATAACTTCAGCTAGTGCTCACGCTGGCCCAACTCGCTCCGCGTGGTCCGGCGGGGTCTTGTACAGATAGGTCAACATCAACCGACCTTGAATACTGATGGGGTGGCCCTTGAATGTGTTGGTGTGATAGGGTGCTATGGCCAGAACTGAAACTCAACATTACAATTCATTAACTCGACTAGTATAGCTAGCTAAAGGGGGACCTGGCACTAAATTCTTCAACGGGGAATGCCGTGGTCACAGCTTGAGGGCTGACTGTGTGCCAGCCACTGTTTGAAGCGCTATGTATACGACTTCCTGTCACTCTGTAACTGAATGGTATTGCCTCTACCCAAAACCATCAGAGTGTTCACAAATCATTCTCTACTTATTTTACTGACTGGCACACTGCCTGGGCACCTGCCCATGGAGAGAGTGAGGTCTCCATGTTACAGCTCCCTCAGACCTGTGTTGCTCGGACTGGTTTGAGAAAGTTTCTGTTCCTTCTAACTAAACATCACTGCCCAAGGTAACTACTAGAAGAGCTAACTGACAATTGCTAACTAAGCCGCCCTTTCCCCTGAGCTATGGGAAGATGTGGAAGACACACTAGTGATTGGAATGGAAATAACGTATATACGTTGTGAGTAAAGCAGCTTTGAGATTTTTAAAAAATTTCGGTTTACAATAAGATGTCCCCGCAATAGACCTGTACTTGATGGCAATATATTCACAGCTCAGTTGGAAAGGCCCTTTTCCCTGCCCCTCACTGAGGAGCATGCTACCTCCCTCCTCCGGCCTTCTGTGTCATCAGTTGTAACAATGGCACCTGCCATATGGGTATTGGCTTGTTAGCCACTGGGCCTCTGTTCCTTCTGATCACAACTGCCATTCTCTGCTGGGGAATCGCCTCCACCCCAGAAGTGCAGTCTTGGGGGCACTTTTCATGAACATGGTCTAGCCTCTCACCAGGAGCTGGGCAGGGACTCTCCTGCAGTTTAAGTCCTGAGTGGAGTTAGACAAGGACTGGAGATATTTTTTGGGTTGAAGCTTGAGTCTCTCAGGAAGGCTACAATGAACAGACAACTTCGAGTAGCTTAATCAGAGTGGGATTCTCTCGCACAAGAAGCTCCTGGCCTTGGTTCAGCTGCTCAACACCATCGCAGGAGGGGAGGGGGGTGGTGATGCATGGCATAGACTTGGTCTTTCCCTCATGATCACAGAGTGACTGCCGACTGCCAGGTCCAGGGCAGGAAGAGGAGATGAAGGGCAAGCTTCTGTACCCCTTATCAGCAAAGTCCCTTCATCCTCTCTTATCAGGAGAGTAAAATTTCCCTGGAAAGCTTCCAGCTTGTTCTGGTCATATCTTCTGGCTGGAGATGCCTCCTGGCCACCCTCGCTGGAAGGGAGACTGGCAAAGCTGTTTGTTTTTCCAGCCTCTGTAGGGAAGGCTGAAGGGAGAGGGTGGAAACTAGTCACTGAGAACAGCCAGCCTACTGAAGAGGCCGCTGGTTCCTTCCTCCTACCTGGATTCCTAAACTTGCCTGCTCTCTGAACCCTCAAAACCAAATTATTTTTTTAAAAAGAATTTTTTTTTAAATTAAATTCAGAGAGGAAGGGAGAGAGAGAAACATCGATGATGAGAAACATTGATCAGCTGCCTCCTGCACGCCTCCTACTGAAGCTCGGGCCTGCAACGGGGCATATGCCCTGATCTGAATGGAACTGTGGCCTTTCCTAGGTTGATGCTCAACCACTGAGCCACACCAGCCGTGCTCAAAACCTAGTTCTTAAGCTTTCAGTTCCATGAACTATCATTGCCCTCGGTATAAAATCTCCGTGTCAACTTCTGTTGCTCGTGAGCAGAAAAACTCTACAGACTGACCCTCTTAAGTGTTACTGCCAGGATAACTTGAGAACACGATGCATTAAGTGGTGAAGGAAGTGTTAGCGACCATTACTTTACCCAGGGCTGCACAGCTGGTTGATGCTGGTTGATGAGACTAAACTCAGCTCTCTCCTCTTCCAGCCCCTGCGCTCCCCATTCCACTGGTGCCTCTCAGGCTGCAGTTGATTAAAAAATGTGCTTACTCTGCAAGTGTGTTGGAAAACGCCCGCCCAGGGAGAGAGGAGTAGGGGTGGGGCTGCATTTTTTTTTTTTTTTTTTTTAGAAAAGTTCTTGAAATAGGGGGTGTTGTGAAGGAAAATGGAAATGTGTGGGCCGTCAGCTCCTGACCAACACAATGGTGAATTCAGCTGAGGAATAAAGACTGTTGGTGCTCGTCACATAGCCAAACCCTTCAACTGGGACACAAACAGCTTCCAGTTAGAGCCCGCCCTCTGCCAGCAAGAGAGAGAGCCAGCCAGCGTGAAGGTGACCCAGCCCTGAGAGCCGGGAGCCAGCCGGTGGAAGGCTGTGGGAGGAATGCCCCAGGCGGGGAGCTGGGGCCCGCCCGCCCCGCCTGTTTGGAATTCCACTTCTGATGCTAACCAGTCCCAGGGCCTCAGGCAAGTTACTCAACCTTACCTGCCTCCTAAAGTGGGGAAAACTACTGCTTAGGGTCGTTGGAATGAGCGGACGAGTTAAGACAAGTGCCCGGTTTAAGGTCACTGTCCTCCGCGGGGCAGCAGGTAATCAGCTTCTGGGTGTAGGGCTTGCTAAAATGTCTGGAGTGGGCTCAGTGGTCAGGGAGAAACACCCCTCCCCTGCTCCACGGTCCTCATCCATTTGCCAGGGCTTACTGGTGAACCCAGGAATCCACATAAGACTGCTTACTAGTAATAATCACATTCACCTACTACGTGTCCCAGGAGCACCTACTCTGTGTCCCAGGTGTTGCTCATACATATTTTTCACCACATGCATCCACTTTGTGTGGCAGAACTTGCCTTCATTTCACAGCTCAGAAAACAGATTCCAAGAGCGGACTCGACTTTCCCAGAGGCACAACGAGTCCTGGGTTCAGACATGACTTTTGTCTTCGTATGTTTAAGCTGCTATAACAAAAATCCCATAGACTGGGCGGCGTAAGCAGGAAACATCTCTCACGGGTCTGGTAGCTGGGAACTCCAAGGTCAAGGCTCCAGCAGATTTGGTGCCTGGTGAGAACCCATGTCCTGGTTCACAGGTGGCTTCTCACTACGCCCTCACATGGTGGAAGTGGCAGGGAGCCCTCTGCAGTCTCTTTAGTAAGAGCTCTAATCCATGCGTCAGGGCTCTGTCATCACGACTTAATCACGTCCTAAAGGCCCCATCTCCTAATACCATCTCACTGGGGCTCAGGTTTTCAACTTAATATACTGTATTTCCCGGCGTATAAGACGACTTTTGAAACGAAAAAAGGTCAACCAAAATTGCACAAAAATTACCTGCAGATCTTGACGGCAAAGTAAGTCTTTTCTTTGAAGAGGGGGGTAGTCTTATACAGCAAATATAGGCCTAAATCTATGTAAAAATTAGGGGGTCGTCTTATACGCCAGAAAATACGGTACTCATTCTGTAATAACTCTGCTGTATCCAAGCCACAAGTTCTACATGCTCCTAAATGCTGACCCGAGCCAAGGCAGGCATGGCCAATTGTGACATCCCCTTAAAGAGGCAGAGAATCTGGTGAAGGTGTGATGGTTGGCATTCTGTCCAGATGCAGAGCAAAAGTGATGGAGAGGCAGTGAGGCTTTTAGGGGAACAAGTCCAGTCAAACCCAAGTCCATAAACCCAGTAATACCAATCAGAAAAGCACTGAGCATGCAACAAGGAAAGCCTTTATTTTTGAGAGGCAGCCAAGCGAGGAGAGACAGGGTTTTGAAAGCCCAAATCCATCTCCCCAAGAGGAAAAAGAAGACGAAGAGTTTGAAGAGGGACTCGACTAGTACAAGCAAAGAGAGAGGAGCTAAGTGATTCTAAGACTAATAAACAATGGGATGTTACTAAGCTATTAGAAAAGATGAAATACTGCCATTTGCAATATCATGGGTGGGTCTTGAGACCATCACGCTAAGCGAAACAAGTCAGATGGAAAAAGTCACTCGTGTGTGGGATATAAAACAAAGCAACCAATGATCAAACAACAGGGAGCAATCAAAGGAGAAGAGGGCTGATTGAGAACAGCTTTTAGAGCCAACCCATGTTCCTGCCGAATTTCCCCGTGCTGCAGGAGGTCAGGAAAAGGGGCTCTGGTGTGGATTGTAATAAATCTGACGGGAGAGGGACTTCAGTGACTCCAAATACTTTCATTTTCTGAAACAAACAGGCACCAAAGGAACCACTGAAAGGAAATCCTGCCGAGCCTGTCCCAAATAGCCCACACCCTTTCCTTGGTACCTTGCAAGGGAAGCACCAAGATCTCTCACAGGATTAGTCAGACTCAGGGGAGGCAAATTTCCATTGAAAGCCTTGGCCTAAACAAGATAAAATAATCATTGCTGTGAAGGAATAAAGATGGATATGTTGCTGGCCAGTCAAGATCTGAGTCAGTACCAAGCTGTGTGTGTGTGTGAGTGTGAGTGTGAGTGTTTGTGTGTGTGTGTGTGAGTGTGTGTGTGAGAGAGAGAGAGAGAGAGAGAGAGAGAGAGAGAGAGAGCAAAAGAGAGAGAGAGAGAGAGAGAGGATGTGTTGTATGTGTGTGTACAAAGGGAGTCAGCTATCCAGGCTGGATGTCTTTGAGCAAGTTGTTTGACGTTTAAGAGAAACAATCTGCCTCCTACAGTTGCTTGTAATGACCAGACAGAAGACAGAAAGGTGTGTGTGAGCCTAGAAACTGTCCAAGCGTACGGGGCTTGTCTAACACTGAGCCGCTTTCTCTCCCCAGACTAGCTGATCCAGCCCAAGGAGCCTGTAGTGCTGAGCATATAATTGGACCCAGTAAGTATTTGGGAGCTTTTAAAACCAGTGTGATAGCCTGGCCAGTGTGACTCAGTGTGGAGCATGGACCTATGAACCAGGAGGTCACGGTTCGATTCCCAGGGTGGGGTGTGCAGGAGGCAGGCAATTAGTGATTCTCATCATTGATGTGTTTCTCTCTCTCTCTCTCTCTCTCTCTCTCTCTCTCTCTCTCTCTCTCTCTCTCTCTCTCTCCTTCTCCCTCTTTATCTTCCTCTCTCTCTCTTTCTCCCCCCTTTCTCTCTGAAATAAATAAAAATATATTAAAACAGTGTTATGGGAACTGAAAGGGATAATATACTACCCCCAAATATGCCATTTTGGCATGGGGATTATTTTCAATTGAAGATAATTGAGAAACAGAAGACTCAGCCTAAAAGCAGAGCTTAATCTTTTTTTTCTTCTTCCTATAAACGGAGTGGGAACCCGAGTAATGTTTTCTCTTGCGGTTCTGGCCAGCTCTGCACTTGGTGCTTTTGTTTGATGTGATGCTAGGCTGTGATAGCTCCGGAGCAGCGGGGCTTGTGGAATTTAGGAGGGGAGAGGGTGTTGAGAGTAAAGAGGGGCTGAGGCCTGCTTGGGGCTGGAGGGGAAGGGGGCTGAGGCCGAGCGTAAACCAAGGGGTTGGGCCGGGCATGCGGGCGCGCCTGCGGGGCTTCCCCCTCGCGCCCCCCTTGCCGGTGCCTTTCTCACGCCGGGGGGGCGCGGCCTGCCACCTGCCAGTGGGCGTGGCCACACTCTGGGGCGTGGCCAACCAGACAGCGCCCTGCTTGTTGGGGGCGGGGCTAGCGCGGAGGGGCGGGGCCCGTGGAACCTCAGAACCCGGCCACTCGCGGCGGGCGCGGGTGTCCCGGCGCGGGGTTCCTCCCACGCAGCATCCCATTCAAAAGATGCCGAAGGGGCGGCGCGGCCGCCAGAGCCCCACGATGAGCCAGCGGCCGGCCCCGCCCCTCTACTTCCCGTCCCTCTATGACCACGGCATCTCCACGTCCCCGCTCAGCGACTTCAATATCTGGAAGAAGCTCTTCGTGCCGCTGAAGGCGAGCGGGGCGGCGGCGGGGGGCCGGCCCCTGCCGCAGGCGCCCCCGGCGGCGCCGATGCCCCTGCCGCCGCCCCCGGGCCTGGGCCTGCCCAGCGAGCGCCCCTGCCCCCCGCCCTGGCCCGCTGGCCTGGCCTCCATCCCCTACGAGCCGCTGCGCTTCTTCTACTCGCCGCCGCCGGGGCCCGAGGGGGCCGCCGCCTCGCCTCTGGTCCCGGGCCCCACGGCCTCCCGGCTGGCCTCCGCCTCCCACCCCGAGGAGCTGTGCGAACTGGAGATCCGGATTAAGGAGCTGGAGCTGCTCACCATCACTGGCGATGGCTTCGACTCCCAGCGCTGTGCGTGACCTCCCCGGGTCGCCGCCGGAGCCCACCCTTAGGCTGGCTTGACTGACACCATTCTTGGCTCCATGTCCTCCCTCCCTAGGTTCCCCCCAAAATGTGGCCTCAGGCTCAGACTCCAGCACCCAGATTTCCCAGATTTCAAGCTGATCCCTCCCCCCCAACCCAGATTCCTCCCCCATCCTGGATATCAACCGACTCTTTTCCTCCAACTCCATCCTCCCTCCATCCTGAGCCCTCTGGGAATCTGGACCCTGAGCCCTCAAACCTGGAACTCCAGCCACCACAAACCCCCTCCTGAACCGTTAAGCCTCTTGCACAGTAACACAACTACCCCTGGAGCTCCACCCACCACAGGCAGCCTCTTTGTCTAGAGCAGGGGTCGGCAAACTCATTAGTCAAATAGCAGCAGTACAACGATTAAAATTTCTTTTGAGAGTCAAATTTTTTAAACTTAAACTTCTTCGAAATAGACTCGCCCAGGCCACAGCACAGAGAGGAGAGACCCCGTTCTTTGTGAAAGAGCCACACTCAAGGGGCCAAAGAGCTGCATGTGGCTCTCGAGCCACAGTTTGCCGACCACGGCTCTAGAGTATTTATTTTCAACTGGGCTCCTGGGCGGGAGGCGGGGGAACTAGGGGAGGGTTGCTTGGAGTGTCTGTAGGGGAATTGTGTAAGATGGGAATTGTGTAAGACCCAGGAGGCCCAAGAACAATGCTGGATGGTAGCTTCCCTGTGACACTCCCAGCTCCCCCCTCCCCACACCCCTGTTGTAGTCAACTCACCAGGGGCCTGGACTCTGCCAACTGATCTTAGGTTTGAAGTCTCAGGGATCTTACTTAACCAGGGAGACCAGGTGTGCTGCTGTGGCTGGGATTCCTGGAGCATCCAAGCAGACTGCGAGAGAGTAAACTCGCACAAAGTCCGATTCTACTCCCAGAGGGCCTATTGCTCTGTAGAATAATCAGTAGCCAGAGGCTGTTCTGCAGACTTTGTTTTTCCCATCACCCGTTCTAAGAGCAGATGGTTCTCGAAAAACTACCCCCATTATTGTATAAAATTGCCCCTCCCCCACACACACACATACACACACTGAAAAGGGGGTATAAAATAACCCAAATGTTTAGGTCCATGAGGCAGCGGGTCTCTAGAAACAATTCCTAGAAAACTTGGACTTTTCTAAGTCCTGTCATTTCTCAACTACATGTTCTCCACTTATACGTGTTTTGGATCCTAATGGTTTTGGGGCTCCCATAGGGAGCACACAGTTGCATTAGCAGTGTTAGAAAAAGCCCTTCTCTCTACTCAAGCTAAGTGTGTCTTGCTCTCCTGCAGATAAGTTCTTGAAGGCGCTGAAAGATGAGAAGTTACAAGGACTGAAGACCAGACAGCCTGGAAAGAAGTCAGCCTCTTTCTCCTGAGGAGCTGCCCACCAGAGCCTGGGTAGCCACCTTCTTAGGTGTTAGTGCTTAGATAATGTGTCCTGTTTGTTGTCATTTCAAAAATGGTTATTTTCTGTTCTGTATTTACTGCCGTTCTTGTTGCTCCCAGCACGCGCTCCACATACAGTGCCCACGTACAGGGTGAATTTCATGGTGTCTCTCCTCTCTGTGCCGGGGCTGGGGGAGCTTTCTCACGGGGTCTGGAAGCTGCTGCCCTGCTGGCATTCAGGGGCTCCTAACGCCAGGGGAGGGGACTCCCAACACTGCCAAGTCAAGAGGGAAGTGGGGAGAACCAAGGGCAATATACTTGCATATTTGGTTCTGTTGCTGTGTCCCTGCTCCGAGGGAAGGACAGGTATACTGGATTTGTTTGTTTTTCAACAGCGTTAGTCCTTGGAACTATTTCATTTGTTAGTGTTTTTTTTTAGACCACAAAACCTTTTAATGATCTAATCAAAGCCAAGGTCCTCCCTAGAAATTAATATATTCAAGAAGTAGTTGAGAGCGGATTCTGTAACAGACACCCTCCGGGGCTCTTGCGGTCGGGCATCGGGGAGACACAGAAACTGTTATAAACAGGTAAATCATAATATGGTATCATAGATGATAACATTCTAAGGGAGGGGGGAAAGAGAGTAGGGTAAGGATGGTCAGGAAGGTGAGCAGAAAGCAGGGTAGAATTTCAAATATGGTTTCCTGAAGCGTTACTGTGTAAACAAGGCTTGAAGGTGGTTGAGGGTGACAGCCCTGTGGCATCCTGGGAATGTTCCGGCAGAAGGGCCAGTACAAAGGCTGAAGTGGGAGCATGCTGGGATGTTTGAGGGTCTGCAAAAAGCCCAGGTGGCGATAAACACAATTTACCATCTTAAATGGAGGAGGAGTGAGAGGAGAATGGAAGGGCTGTTTGCAGAGACGGTCCATTCCTGTAGGGCCTTCCAGCCATGGTAAGGACTCCAGGTTTTACTCCAAGTGGAAGGGGGTGTGGGTAGAGGATTTTCAGCCAGTGAGAGACAGGATTTGCCCATGCTGCTGGGTTGAGAACAGACTAAGGAAGGAAGGAAGTAGAGAAAGCAGTTTTGGCTTGTAGTAATGAGTAATCCAGCTGAGTGAGATTGAACGTTCCAGCCTCATCTTCCCTTTCACCTTTGCTTGGTGACAGGTGTCTGTGGGGCACCCGCTGCCACCACCAATTCTGCCCCTACTTGCCAGATGCTGTCTCCCTGGTGAGGAACAAATGGGAGGAGAGAGATCTCCGTGACACAAGCACGCGAATAAAGAAAAAAAAATATTTTATGAAACAAATCTTCAATCAAGTATAACATTTAAAAAAATATATATATTTTTACTGATTTCAGAGAAGGCAGAGGGAGAGAAACAAACATCAATGATGAGAGAATCATTGATTGGCTGCCTCCTGCACGCCCCACACGAGGGATGAAGCCGCAACTTGGGCCTGTGCCCCGACCAGGAATTGAGCCCTTACCTCCTGGTTCACAATTTGACATTCAACCACTGAGCAACACCAGCCGGGCTCAAGTATAACATTTTTTTTTAAATATACTGATTTTTTACAGAGAGGAAGGGAGAGGGATAGAGAGCTAGAAACATCAATGACAGAGAAACACCCATCAGCTGCCTCCTGCACACCCCCTACTGGGGATGTGCCCACAACCAAGGTACATGCCCTTGACCGGAATCGAACCTGGGACCCTTCAGGCCAACACTCTATCCACTGAGCCAATCTGGTTTTCAGCACAAGTATGACATTTTGATACTTGGCATCTAGATGCCCTGCCAGGAGCAACTGTAGGTCGGAGCCAGAGAATTTGTGAAGCTTGGGCTTCTTACAAAAGGAGAATGAAAAGGAGCGGCCAATGAGGCAAATGTCTTAGAAGTGCCAGAATGTTGTCCCTGAGTGGACCAGAGGAGTGGGATCTAGAGGGGTTGGCCACAGATGGCCAAAGAAATGGTTCATCTCTATGAACAGGAGATCCATCTGTGAATGAGGGTGCAGATGCCAGTAGAAGGGTAAATGCGGTGGGGGGAGCCCGGGAAATTGCATACATGTACCCCAAAGTCTGCAGCGTCCTCCAGGTGCTCCTGCCCTCGGACAAGGTCCCGCTGGAAACCCTGGGAGTGAGTGCGGAGCCCGGTGGAGCCCGCAAGCAGCAGTGCGCACGTGACTCGGGGGGTAGTTGTTAACCAGCTGCAGCTGCTGCTGGCCCAGCCAGGCGGGTGGGCAGTGTCAGGTGGAAGCTCTTGCTTTCTAAAGCAGCCACGAATTCAAAGGTTTCCAAACACAATTCAGGCCAAACAAAGCCAGCCGGACGGTCCCTCAGTGTCGGCAGCTTCTGCTGTACCCACTGGAGTCCAAGCACCTTGGGCGGGGGCTCCAGGTTCTGCCTCCCCTCCCAGGAAGAAGCCAGGCTGGTTGTTAGCATCTCATTTTCCCAGAAAACTTCAGGCTGGCCTGGCCAGGGAGGGGTGGGCTGAAGAGTCTCAATGAGAACAGACCAGGCACCCGGAAAACCCAGCACCTATATCCAGTCGGTCTTGTTTCCCATTTCCTCCCCAAAGTCCCGTGGCCTCCACTCCCCTCTCCCTCCCTCCCAAGCTCCTAAGATTGGGCACAGCCAGTGCTGAGCACAGAGGGAGGCCTTAGCATGAACAACCTCATTTAATCCTCACTAGCACCTTGTGAAGTAGGTTTGCTATGTTTTACAAATGAGGGGACAGAGGCGCCACGAGAGGAAGGGACTTGCCCACAGACGCAGAGCTGGGGAAAGGCAGAGCCCAGCGGCCACGTTCTCCCTGGCGCTCTCGCTGGGTGAGGCACAGATTCATGGGAAGCCCAGGTGAGCCTCGACAGGAAGCACCTGGCTGGATGCTGCTAGCTAGGGCATGGTTTGGGGTTGGCTGGGTTGTTTCTCACAAACTTTGCAAGTGAGAATGGGGTTGACAGTATTACGATATCACAGTTAAGGTCCCAGGAATGCCCACACACAACCCTATCATCTGTCCCCTCATCCCATGGCAGGTCCTGTTATGAGGACAGCAAGGAGCAGGTGATGTGATTGTCAGCCCCTCCCGAACAAAAGGAAATGGAAGAGGTTGCTCCCCAAAGAAAAGGATGATTGACAGATGGAAGCCAGAAGGGTCCCCGCTGAGAGAACGCCATAGGCAGGGATAACAGATGCACGCAGGGGCCCGCCGCCAGCCTGAGCAACTCCCCAGGGCCAGTGGTTAAATTTTCATGAAATCTGAAAGCTAGCGGGCTGTTAAATACTGCCACTATTAAAAATCACACTACGCCAATTTTCAATTAAGCTTTATTTAAAACTAAGGCAACAGACACTCAAAATCCATTACGTCCTAAGCATCTTGCTGCATGTTACAATGACCTAGGACATGTTCTCGAGATTATTTCTATTGGTATCTGTGTGGTGGGGGGCGAGGGCGCATTACTTCCCAATAATGTCCTGCTGGTGACTAGAAGCTGGCTGAAATGGGAGTTTTCATGCCCTGAACTTGACAAATGTGCAAATTAGAGTTGTTCCTTTCCCTACCCTCCTCAGCCAAAGTGTAGGTTGTTGAACATTTACTAATGCTCCAGCAGATACACAGGAAATGAAAGTACCGCTTTGTTTATAACTGAACTAAAGGTGAGCTGCTTCGGAGCCTTGCAAGCTGAGCTGAAGGTATACATAAAGCTCTTAAAAAACACACACACACACACACACACACACATATATATATATATATATATATATATATATATATATATAATTGATTTTTTAAAAATATATATTTTATTGATTTTGTATAGAGAGGAAGGGAGAGGGCTAGAGAGTTAGAAACATCGATGAGAGAGAGTCATCGATCAGCTGCCTCTTGCACACCCCCTACTGGGGATATGCCCGCAACCAAGGTACATGTCCTTGACCGGAATCGAACCCGGGACCCTTCAGTCTCCAAGCCAGCGCTCTATCCATTGAGCCAAACCGGTCTCGGCTAAAATTGATTTTTTTACAGAGAGGAAGGGAGATGGAGAGGAATAGAAAGTTAGAAAGATCAATGAGAGAGAAACATCAATTCAGCTGCCTCCTGCACAACCCCCACTGGGGATATGTCCTCAACCAAGGTACATGCCGTTGACCAGGAATCAAAACTGGGACCCTTCAGTTCGCAGGGCAACATTCTATCCACCAGGCCAAACCGGTTAGGGCATATAAATGAAGCTCTTGCTGCCTCGAGCTCATGTGCCCATTCAGGTCCACACCAGGCGGAGGGGACGCACCTGCTCAGGAAGGCAGGCTTTCCCTCGTACTGGGCCCACAGGGAGCACAGGTGTATGGCTTCAAAGGTGGAGTACACCTGCCCACTGGGGAAGCAGGGCCCAAGGAATGTCCTGGACTCTGACCAATCAGATTAGCGACATCTACTCTGGGGAAATTAGGGTAGAGGGCAGAGAAACAGCCGGCAGGGATAGGCCTTTGCAGAGCCCGAGAGTGACCAGGGAGTGAGCTGGCTGGAAGGCAGTTGGACTCTTTACTGGGGAGGGCCAACCACATTTTTCACATCGCCCGCAGCTCACAGGCAAGGCCAAGAGCTTGATCTCCCCGTAGCCGCTGCCCCAAAGAGGGTTTTAGTCATCACTTCGCCCTTTCATCCCGTCCACACCAGGGCATCAGCACATCCAAGAAGGTGTCTGTGCGGGGGGGGGGGGGGGGGGGGGGGGGGGGGGGCGCGGGGAGGAGAGTAAGTGACCAGAGAGAAATGCAGAAAATGCATCCGGGACGCAGCTGGTTGGGAGGAAAACAAAGGTCACTCAAACTGGCTACTTAAATAACAAGAGTGGCACCAGCAGGGTTCTTTGTCTGCAAGCTCAGAAACTAATGTGAGAGAAACAAAAAAGAGGCCTCCAGGCCTTTGGACGGAAGGAGGTGCCCGCCGCTGGACAGCTCAGCTCCAACCAGCATTCCTTGGAGAGAAGCGGTGACTGGCTTACTGGTCAACATGTCCCTGTCCATCCCTGATTGGGACAGGTGGCCAGGGTCCTGTGATTGTAGCTCCACCAGGGGCCCTAGGAGCCGGGAAGCAATACAGACGAAGACACCACATGTCCCCTCATGGGCCTCATGTCAACTGGCA